CTAGAACTCCCAAGATTATAGGTCCTCTGTCTTCTGCTATGAGGGGATGGGTGGATTAGGGAAGGACCTTCAGGTGGGGGCGGGTCTAGGCGTGTTTGAGCTCAGGTCCTCCTTGGGCAGGCCTTGCTTTGGCTGCTGTGGGGGATGGGGGTGAGATTCTCAGGTCACTGGAGCTGTGTACCTAGGTGGATTATGGCTGCCTCTGCTGAGTTATGAGGTTGTCAGGGAAGTGGGGGAAAGCCAGCAGTCACAGGCCTCACCCAGCTCTCATGCACACTGAAAGGCCACTGTCACTTCCACCGTGGCCCCTGCAACAATACCGAGTCTGTTTCCAGGAGGAAGGCAAATTGGCCTTGAATATTTGCCTGAGGTTTTCTACATCCCAGCTGCAAAGAAAAGGGCTTTAGTTCTTCCCCTGCCTGTGAAGTCTGCAAGCTGGATTCATGCCCTCCCCCAAGTTCTGGCCAGGAGGCTTCTCACCTGTTCAAATTGTTACAAAGTTCAGCAGAGAAATCCCTTTCACTGTGGACTTTTACCCCTGTAATGTTCTTGTAACAGTTCAAACTCCGAGAGCGCACCAACAGAAAACACGAGACAGTGTGGAACAACATGCTGTTTTAATGAGTACCTGGGTGCAGGCGGACTAAGGCCTAAAATGGCATCAGCCCCAAGTGAGGATGGGACAGGGGTTTTATAATCCTCTGTAAACAGTAAGTGTCCCAGTCTGGTGTGACTGCTATCTAGTACCCAGACGACCTCTTTCTTGATCTTCAGGGGTATGTGTCTTCCAGCCAGGGTAGGTGTCTTCCAGTTGGCTCTCTTCCTGCTTCTGCTATCTTGCTGATGCATGCTGCTGACACAAGTGGCCTTGCGTCTTGGGACTGCACCTGAGAGGAGGAGTTACTCATCCCTTCAAGCTTTCAGGCCTCAAGGAGAATCTTTCATTCCTGTCTATTTGGTTATAGAATAAAGGAAAAAGGGGTGACTTTCTCAATAACTACTTCAGGCATAACATAGGGGTTGGCATGGGCACCTTGGAAAAAGAAAACCTTAATTTTGGGGGTATTCTTGAGAAACTGGTTGGTGTCCAGCATATCATTGTAGCAGGAGCACCGTCTGGATTGTCTGGTTACACGTCTGTGCCTGCAAGACAGTTAGGTTGAGAGGACAAGGAGATGTCAACAGGGAGAGGCATGACCTCATTTGGTGCTTCATAAATGAAAGACCATGACTGGATTAAGGAGGGGAGGTAACTCCTGAGTGGCTCAGAGTCTGATAAAGGTGGAGACCCCAAGACGAATGTTTGATCATACATGATTTCAAAGAGACTATAAAAAGAGGGTGCTTTTGCTGTTGTGCAAAGTCTCATGAGGGCAAAAGGGAGATTTTTTTTTTGTCCAAGACTGGCAGGTTTCTAGAGCCAGCTTGGTGAGTTGGGCTTTAAGGACAGAGTTAATTTTTTCAACCTTGCCTGAAGATTGAGGCCTGTAGGGTGTGTGGAGAACTTACTTTATTCTTAAGGATGTAAAAATGCCTTGGGAAATTTGACTGATGAAGGCAGGACCGCTATCGGATTGGATGGATGTTGGGAGTCTGAAACGGGAAATTGTATACATGATGAGTTTATGTGATGATATTTGCACCTTCTGAAGTTGTTGGGAATGCTTCTACCTAACCGGAGAAAGTACGGACAAGGACTAGAAGATAGCGGAGCCATTTATCATGTAGCATATGAGTGAAGTCTACTTGCCAATCTTCCCCAGGTATCTGGCCCTGGGCTTGGTGGGTAGGAAAAGGCAGAGGCTGCAGGGAGTCCTGGGGTTACACTGAGGGGTAGATAGAGCAGGACTGGATAATTTCTTGAACGTGGCTGGAATGGTGAGAACAAGTGAGAATAGGGTGGAGAAGTTGCAAGAGAGGTTGGTAACCAACATGGAAAGTCTTGTGGAGGCTTTGGAGATGAGGAAGGCTTTGAGAGTGAGGAAGAACGAAGCACCCTTCCTTGACATAACAAGGTCCTTGCTTTTGAAGGTTTTGGGCTCAGAAGTCTTCTTTTTCTTCTGAGGAGTAAAGAGGAGAGAACAAGAACAGGGATAGCAACCGGCCTTTGCAAGGTTGTAGGGCTACTTGTTTGTCTACCTGATCTGCTAGGACATTTCCATCCAATTTAGGATTGTCTGGGGTTTGGTGGCCCCTGCAAGGAATGATGGCAACTTTCTGGGGGAGCCTGGCAGCTTGAAGGAGCTTGCTGATGAGAGAGCCACTTATGACAGGAGTATTGTTTACAGTTAGGAAACCTCGTTCTTTCCAGATGGATGATTGTGAGTGCACTACGTGGAACATATAACGAGAATTTGAATATATTGATCTGTTTTCCGGATGTTAGAGTGAGAGCTCAAGTGAGGGCAATGAGTTCAGCTTTTTGGGAGGTGGTACCTAGGAGGAGCGGATTGGCTTCAATAATGTTGAGAGGGGCGGTGACACTATAGCATAGCCAGCATGTTGGTGTCCTTGATGTAGGAAGGAGCTGCCATCTACAAACTAAGTGAAGGAGGCATCTGGAAGGGATTGGTCTGTTAGGTTTGGAAAAGGTATAAGAAAGGTTTGAACAATATTCACACAGAAGAGTGTGAATAAGAGTCTTGGGCGGTTGTAGCTTCAGGTAAGAGCATGGCCGGGTTTAGATGGGAGCTGGTTAGCATGGTGATGTGGGGAGTTTCTATGAATAGAGCATACAGTTGGAGGAGCTGCGGGGCAGAGAAAAGACTTAGTACACTGCAGTGAGCTAACATGTCTTTGATGTTATGGGTTGAATAAACTGTTAGGTTGGCATGAAGAGATAGTTTTAGACTTTTAACAGAGAGGACAGCAGCTGCCACCAATGCTCAGAGGCAGGCAGGCCATCCGATAACTGTGGCTTCAAGCTGTTTAGGGAGGTAGGCAACAATCTTGGGGGATGGGTCCCTGAGACTAGGTTAGAACACCTAGTGCAACTCCACGCCATTCATCAGTATAGAGAGAGAAAGGTTTAGTGAGGTCTGGGAGAGTGAGGATGGGGGCTGAGATAAGAGCCTTTTAGAGTAGATGGAAAGGTTGGATAATAGGCTGTGCAAGTTTTAAAGGCTCATGGAGAGGGCTTTTAGCAGCTTGGTATAACGGTTTGGCAAGTAGATCAAAGGAGGAAACCCAGAGACTAAAATATTCCACTAATCCTGGAAAAGAGATAATTTCTTGCTTAGTTTGCGGAGGTGGGAGGGACTGGAGGAGGGATATGTGGTCTATTGTGAAACCTTGGGTTCAGGGAGTAAGAGCTAGGCCTAGATAGGTGACTGGGGGGGTGCATATTTGTGCTTTCTTAGGGGAGACCTGATACCTCCATTCTGCCAAGAAGATTAAAAGAGAGAGAGTATGTATGGGTGTTGCAGTTTCTTTGAGAGGGGCTACACAGGAGCAGATTATTAACATATTAAAGGAGAGAGGACGATTTTAGGGATAAAGTACCGAAGTCACTAGCAAGGGCTTGTCCAAAAAGGTGGGGGCTGTCTCTAATACCTTGAGATAGTACACACCAGGTGCGCTGACATGAAAGGTGGTTGTCGGGGCTTTCCCACGTAAAGGCAAAGAAGTTCTGGGAATCAGGGTGTAAAGGAATTGCGAAAAGGCATTCTTTAGGTTTAGAACAGAAAAATGAGTGGTATTGGAGGGAATTGTGGAAAGTAAAGTATATGGGTTAGGAACTACTGGGCTTACTGGGAGTAGAGCTTAGTTAATGAGACTGAGGTCCTGGACTAAGTGATAAGTTCCATCTGGCTTTTTAACGGGTAGAACTGGTGTGTTAAAAGGAGAGTTTGTTGGACTGAATAGGTGACTGGTGAGGAGGAGAGAAATGATATGCTTTAGGCCTGTGAGAGCTGCTTGGGGGATGGGATACTGCTTCTGTGATAGGAACTGAGTGGGCTTCTTAAGGGTGGTGTGGATGGGAGTGTGGTGTTCTGTGACTGAGGGTGTAGAATTATCTCAAAAAGTGGGGTTAACTACAGATGGGGGATAAAGAAAAGTTGAATGTTTTGGGGTGGGAAGTTGGAGGAGTAGAAAAAAGTTAGAAGACTTGGAGGGGTCTGGGTTGATGTGTTGGGTACTATGGGGAATGTGGAAGTGGAGAGCAGTGTGGAGTTTTGAAAGGATGTCTCTGCCTAGGAGCATAGTTGGGCATGAGGGCAAGACTAAGAAAGAGTGACTGAAGGAAAAGCTGTGCAAGGAGCAGAAAAGTGGAGGAGGGGCTTGGAGTTTGGAGACTTGTCCATTGATTCCCACAACAGAGACTTGGGAGGACTGGCTGGGTCCTGAAAATTTAGGTAAAGGAGAATAAATTGCCCCAATATTAATTTTCAAAAAACATGCTGGCTTACCTGCCACCATTAGGGTTACCCTTGGCTCAGATGAAGCAATGGTAGTTGCTGGGGCGTCTGTTCCAGGTCACTGTCCGTATTCAGCAGCAAGGAAGATGAGATCCGAGAAGGAGGTTTTGGCCGGCTGGGGCAGGCAAGGGGGTGGTCCTTGCTGGGGACCCTCACAGTCTGACTTCCAGTGGAGTCCTCTGCAGAGGGTGCACGGCCTGGTGGGCTTACCTGGATTTGGGCATTGCCTGGACCAGTGGCCTTCATTGCCGCACTTGAAATAGGCACTAGGTGGAGGTGGATTGCTAGGAGGCCTCTATGTGGAGCTGCAGCCTACAGGGCCCCTGATGGTGGAGGCAAGCATTTGAAACTGTCCTTTTTTTTTTTTTTCTTTTACTTTCCTCATCACAACTATTAAAAACTTTGAAGGCTAAATTAAGAAGGTTTCATTGTGGGGTCTGAGAGCCGTAGTCAAGCTTCTGAAGCTTGCGCCAAATGTCAGGGGTAGATTGGTTGAGGAAGCGAAGATTTAAAATAGTGGTTCCTTCTGGGCTGGCTGGGTCTAGGTTGGTATATTTTCTTTTTCTTTCTTTTTTTTTTTACTGTTGCATTATGATTTAATCTAATTGCACAAAAATTTGAAATTACAACTCCTCCCATTTTCTAAGAGGAAGGTTATGCATGCCTCCATATTCAATTCTGCACTGTTACATTTGAACCATATTGTGAACTTTACATCATGATGGATCAGCTTAGAATTCCCATGCAACACCTCAAATTAAAAAATGGAAGCAATTTTTAGACCTGTGGAAAGTTTTCATGCTAAAGATAAAAACGATTGTTAATGGGCAATTTACTTTGTGTTTAAGTACCAGGTTGCTGCTATACTTTAAAATGTTGGTCACTAAATAACATGGACCCTGAACTGGCTTCTACTCCTTAAAAAAAAAAAAAAGTGTTAACTATCACTTAGGTGACATCTATATTCCCTTCACTTCAGAAGACTAATCCATAGTGCCTCTCAGCTGTGTTTCTTATGAAATAAGAATCGTGTAACCAACTGCTTCCCATGGGATAAGAACAATGGTTAACAGTGGGTTCAACTGACTATTACACCATTATGCTAATATTTTATTAATTCAAAAGCACTTTACAAGAAAATATAAGTATGGCTTCCAATAGGAATGTTATACCTGGACTTGGTACCAAGCTCACAGATTTGAGTTTGCAAGGAAAAACAGGCTTTCAAGTTAAACAACAATTTGTAACCAAAACTTTAATCCCAAGGATTCTCACAAAACATATTACAAATGACAGCATGAAAAAAAAATCTCGCACAGTAACTCAAAGTTTGGCTCTACAATGAACCCTTAAACTGGCAGGACATTTTTTGAAATCTCAAATTTGCATATAAAGAACATCACGAACAGCCATGTATCCATATACAGCAATCAAATAAGGAACTTATGACCTAAAGCAAAGGTAAACTTTCTTGAATAACAGATTCTATACCAACTAGGCAACCTCTGCCCAGGATGAAAGTTGGATTTTTCAAAAACCTCTAATTTAATAGTTCAGCATTTCTTCTTACCTGATGGCTTGTGTTTCACAGCAGTTTTTAAAGACTGCTTATTCAACTATAGCTGCATCCTATATCCCAGCTATGGAAAAAAAGTAAATCTTAGTTTTTTTGCCAGTTGTCTCTGTATTTAAAAGAAAAAAAAATCAGACTTCTGCTGGGCAGGTTTAGAGGTTTATTATCAGTCTATGCATAACTAAAGTTCAAAACAAATTCAATTTTGCTTAAGGGAACATTGTAAAGAAACAATTCTTGGTATTACATGCCTCATATGATCCATTTCAAACCATAGAGAATCACACCTTTGTGTCACTGTTTCAAGAGACAAACAGATTTTGAACAGCTAAAACATCTTAAAAATGCACCAAGCTTATGAAGTCTCAAACAAAACTTGAATTTCCTGTACATACTCCCGTCAAATGAAGTAATTTCCTGTACACCACTTCTCTTGCAAATTGTCTTCTATTTCCTTTCATTTGACCTAGATCGGCTACCAGACCTAGAGAAGGATCGGGACGGCTTGTGATTTCTCTCCCGAGACAGCGATCTCTCTCTTCTCCTATCTCTAGAAAGGGACCTGCTTCGTCTGCGAGAGAAGCTTCTCCTTCTTGGAGATCTGCGACGAGGTGGAGGACTCCTCCTACGATAATCATCTCGAGGGCGACGACCCCAAGAGGGAGGTGGGCCACGATTTCTACTTCTTTTTTCACCATTCGACAGTTCCACTCTTACACGGCAGCCACATAGTGTTCTTCCATCTAGCTCTCGGACCGCATCAGCTGCATCTCGGGGATCTTCAAATTCAACAAAAGCAAAGCCGGGTGGGTTTCTAGCAACCCACACACTTCGGAGTGGTCCATAGTAGCCAAAAGCCCGTTCCAATTCGGTCTTATTGCCATTGTTTCCAAGATTGCCTACATGAACCTTACAGTCCAGTGAACAGGAATCACGATGCATTTCGAGATCTAGGGTTAAGAAATGCGGCGGCTCAAATCCACACGCTCCGATGGGTCTTCCTGTTTTCCTCCGGCCCAACACCCACCAATGCTCTCGCTCACCCGGCGTCCACAAAATGGGTTGGTATATTTTCTCATGGCTTTAGTTAAACAGGAGAGAAAAAGGGTTGGGTTTTTGTCAGCACCTTCAGTGATTTCTGAAAGTTTTTCATAGTCTACCACTTTATGGGAACCCTTTTTGAGTCCTGCAAGGAGACACACAATCATGTGGTCTTGATGGCAGTGTCCAGAGGCCCTATCTTGACAATCCTGGTGGGATTCCTGGTTCGGGACTGCCTCTGTGCCCAGTAGGCTGGGCAGGAGCTTGGTGATGAATTGTATTAGCATGCACCTGAGCTAGGGTCCAAATATTGACCCGGTCTTCTGGGGTGAGGGTGGAAGAGAGGATAAGTAGAGGTCGTGCCAGGTTAGTTTATAAGACTGTATAAGGTACTGATACTCCCAAATATAAGAGGTAGGGTCTTCTGAAAATGAACTGAGTCTTTTGTTAATTTGAGAGAGATCAGTGAGGAAGAAGGGAACATGAATTCTAACAATACCTTCAGTTCCTGCTACTTCCTGAAGGGAGCATTCTAGCACCAGCGCTGAAGTACGGGTGGTGCATGGGCCAAAGATGGTGCCTACCCTGGTGTGGGCAGGAGAGAAGGAAGAAGCCAGAAGGGGTTCTTGCTGAGGGTTTGAAGGGGAAAGGGGGGTTGAGTTGATAGGCAGTAGAGGACAGATAGGGATGTAAGGTGACTTGATGGGTTTACGGGCTTCAGGAGAGGGCAGTGAGGAAGGAGAATGAGTACAAGCAATGCTAGAGTTGTCCTGAGGAGAGGACGGTGTAGGAAAAGAAGTGGCTAATTTTGGAGGTGATGTCAGCTGGAAAGATGATGGCTGAGAAGACAATGAGGAAGCCTGGGGAGTTAATGAAGATGGTTGAGATGGAGGGGTAGGGGCTGGGAGGGGTGGACAGCAGTCAGCTGGATCCAATGAGGAAAAGAGGTAGGGTCAGGAGGAGAAAGGTGATGAGGGAGATGAGAATGGAGAAGGATTTGAACAGGTAAGCAAGAATTGCAGAGGTCAGTTTGTGATCTGAGTGCAAAAAGTCCTGGACACAAGGACTTTCTCCCCGTTTTTCCAGTGGCTGGCAATAACTGCTTAAGTCAGTTAAAATTGTAAAGTAGAATGATCTATTTGTGGGCCATTTGGACTCGTTATCTAATCTAATTCACAGTCTGACCAGGCTTTATTGTATAAAAAAGATAAGGCACTTAGGGCGGATGTCTTGCCTGAGGTCTAAGGTTTGCAGATTTTTTATGAGGCAACCTGGAAGGCTGTTTTTTGGAATGGAGGACCAGGAGTTTTCCATATCAAAGAGTAGGCTCAGGAGAACAGGGAAAAAGGAGACCATCCTGGACAGCTGGAAGGAGACGATAAAAGGAGCTATCATCACCGCTGCCTTTTTGGTTCGCAGAAAGGGGTCAAATGGCTTAGTGGCATCCCCCTAAGACCAGATGATCAGTGAGTGCCTGGCACATGCTGGAACCTTGTTGGATCAATGCTGGAATTTTGGACCAGAGAAACCAAGAGAGGCCATGCAGATTTTCCCCTGTTCACTGGGCTCCCAGGGAAACTTACCAGTAGGCAAGATCAGTGACCAATGTGCATGCACAGAGAGGCAGCTTGAAGCTGAGGAGCTTCCTTTGTCTGGTTGCTGTGGCCTGCTCTCTGGGGAGAATGGGTAGGTCTGCGAGCAACACAGACCTGAGCCCCTCCCGGGTTTTCCCACCAGATGTAAGGTTCTTGAATCGGTTTGAACCCCCGGAGTGTGCCAACAGACAACATGAGGCTGTGTGGAGCAATATGCAGCTTTAATGAGTGCCTGGGTGCAGGTGGGCTCAGGCCTAAAATGGCATCAGTCCCAAGTGAGTATGGGACAGGGGTTTTACAGTCCTCTGTAAACAGTAAGTGTCCCACTCTGACGTGACTACTATGTAGTACCTGGACAGCCTCTTTCTTGATCTTCAGGAGTACATGTCTTCCAACCAGGGTAAGTGTCTTCTGGCCGGCTCTTTTCCTGCTTCTATCTTGCTGACACATGCTGCTGATGCAAGTGGTTTTGTGTCTTGGGACTGGGCCTGAGAAGGGAGGAGTTACTCATCCCTTCAGGCTTTCAGGCCCTGAGGAGAATCTTTGAACCCTCTGCTCCGCTGGTCACCCTCATGATGGATTCCTGTGGTGCCAGGCAGGAATGAGCCACTTGGGTATCCAGAGAGCTCCTAGTGGCTTTCTGCTACTTCCTCTACCCCTGTATTTTGCTTGGCTTGGTTCTCTAACTTGACTCAGCTCCAGGTAAAGTCAGGAACTTCTCCCACAAACAGACCTTCAGCTTCTCCAGTGGGGATGCGTATTCGGGAGAGGGGGCTATCCTTTTGCCACTTTCATTGTTGGGGCACTCACAGTATTTGGTATGTCTCCCAGGGCCTGCAAGAGCAGTACACTTACTGCAGAGGGTCTGTGGGTCCTCTCAGAATTGCTGGTCTGTTCTTGCAGTTGATCTGCAGCTAAAATTCACAGTGCAAGCCTCCACATGCTGCTCTGTCTAGAGCTGAAATTTCACCCCATCTGCCATGATCGCTGGAAAAATCCTCATTTATTTTTTGAAAGGTAGAGAAAATGCTAATCTATAGAGATAGAAATTAGATTAGTGGTTGCCTAGGGTAGGATGGATGCAAAATTTCAGAGTTGGGGGTTAAAGGCTATTGTATATAATTTTTTGGAGGTAATACTGATTGTTGCAGTGGATGTAAAATTCTGTGAATATACTAGGAAACACTGAACTGTACACACTAATTGGTGAATCCTATGGTATATGAATTATATATCAACAAAGTTTTAGAAGACATTCCTTGTACCATGATATTAAAAATGCTGTTTGTGTTGTATAATTACTTCATCTCTCTGTGTGCAGGGCATTGAAGTCGCAGGAGCCTCTCATTTGCCACTGTTCTTAACAGCATTATAAAATAATTACATAAGAGAGATTACTTACATATTACATATGCTGGGTCATAAAAGTTATTGTTTGACTAGAGTAGTTATAAACACAAAAGAACACCTAACACACTAAAATAAATATGAAGTCATCTATCTTTTGTTTGTCTCCTTGGCATGCACCTATTCAGACTGTTAATATTATGTGTTTATTTTTAACTTTAGCAGTTATATTTTAACTTTATTGACTTATCCTCAGATTTAAGTATGAGAAATGACAGAAAGAAACAGCAACTGGAAAAGAAGGATTGCATGAGACCAGGATGTCTCTGAAATGGACGTCAGTCTTTCTGCTGTTACAACTCAGTTGTTATTTTAGCTCTGGGAGTTGTGGAAAGGTGCTGGTGTGGCCCACAGAATACAGCCATTGGATAAATATGAAGACAATCCTGGAAGAGCTTGTTCGGAGAGGTCATGAGGTGACTGTGTTGACATCCTCGGCTTCTACTTTTGTCAATGACAGTAAATCATCTGCTATTAAATTTGAAGTTTATCCTACATCTTTAACTAAAAATGATATGGAAGATTCTCTTATGAAACTGCTCGATATTTGGACATACAGTATTTCAAACAGTACATTTTTGTCATATTTTTCAAAACTACAAGAATTGTGTTGGGAATATTATTACTATAGTGAAAAGCTCTGTAAAGATGCAGTTTTGAACAAGAAACTTATGACAAAACTAAAAGAGACAAAGTTTGATGTCATTCTGGCAGATGCCCTTAATCCCTGTGGGGAGCTACTGGCTGAGCTATTTAACATACCCTTTGTGTACAGCCTCCGCTTCACTGTTGGCTACACATTTGAGAAGAATGGTGGAGGATTTCTGTTCCCTCCTTCCTATGTACCTGTTGTTATGTCAGAATTAAGTGATCAAATGACTTTCACAGAAAGGATAAAAAATATGATACATAAGCTTTATTTTGACTTTTGGTTTCAAATACATGATATAAAGAAGTGGGACCAGTTTTACAGTGAAGTTCTAGGTAAGTCATGTGTCCAATTAGTGCTTATTAAGTCCTAACTTTTCTGTGCCTTTGAAGGTGAGCTTATACAAATACTATGTCAGAAGATAGTGTTTTTAAGGGAAATTACAAATTGCAAATGTAAGATGATCTATCAATCTCAAAAATATTATAGAATGTTGACCTTATAGAATCAATTAGAACCCTGGGACCATCACTACTACAGGACGCCCAAAGAATCATAAACCTTCAATGTAAAGCGCTTATGATTTCATCACATATCATTTTGCTATACATTTTTTCATCTTTAAAAAAAGTCAATAGATACCTCAAAAAAATCTTCACGAAGGCAGACATATAAATTTAGTATTTACACATATTTCTAGAAAAATTAGCAATGCAGGATTGAGGAATTTGTTTCTCTTTGAGTACCTCAGTTTTCTCATTTAGAAATTAAAATTTTTTCACATAACAAGAATTTCTTCACAGTTGAGAAATATAGTGACTCTACTCCAGAAACAGAAGCCTAAAACTTGAGATTTCTAATGTTTATACATTCCTTCACTAACAGCTTGACAATTATTTCTTTCAAAATCTGAAATCTTGTTGAAAGCGAACATCTAAGTTTCAATCTGTATTTTATTAAACTGCATCTCTCCATCAAACAAAATATAGGCCAAGTTAAGGAAGAGCACATATCTCTGTGTCGATAAATTCTGAAAAATTTTTAGTTCTCATTTGTAAATATATTTATTTTAAAAATCTAATTATAGTAAGATCTTAAGATGAACCAAGATGTAGTAGTATGAAGATTTCAGTGTTACTCTAAAAAATCTCATGGTTTACTTGGAGAACCAAGGATCAAGGAACTAGCTTAATAAATTGTAGAGACTAGAGTACTTCCTGGAAAGCTGTTTTCATGGGTAAGATGAATTAATTGTGGAACTGAAAGAGTTATCTAAATGTATATTTGTTACTATTGCAGCTTCAGAGAGAAGACAAATGTGTATTTAAGTTCATAGTGGCTACATTAGTCCATTCTCACAGT